TCACTATACCTGGATCAAGTAAGAATGTTACAAGGTGGCATACTGAATACAGCTCACTATACCTGGATCAAGTAACAATGTTACAAGGTGGCATACTGAATACAGCTCACTATACATGGATCAAGTAACAAAGTGGCATACTGAATTCAGCTCACTATACCTGGATCAAGTAACAAAGTTACAGGTGGCATACTGAATTCAGCTCACTATACATAGATCAAGTAACAAAGTTACAAGATGACATTCTGAATACAGCTCACTATATCTGGATCAAGTAACAAAGTTACAAAGTGGCATACTGAATACAGCTCATTATACCTGGATCTCCAATGTGTGCTGGAGCACCATGTACTTCTTTCATTACATGTGTGACTTGAAATGCTGTCTCTATCAAATTTTTTGGAATTGGTCTCATGGATAACACTTGTTTGCAATTGAAAGAACCGACAGGGTAACAGCGTATATTACTCTGCCATAAAACAATAATATGTTAATCATACATTTATTCATAATGATGGTAAATAATTATCTTTTCATTTACAACTGATGTATATTATAAACCAATATCATATTTTTAAATGGAAATCTTGCATGGATTGATCCAATATAAACTCAAAACAGACAAAATATTAAGGGTATAGCATGCAAATTTTAACTGAAGGCAGAAATTAGATATATGGAATATTTAAAATTAATTCAAATCAAAGAAAGCTTGGAAAAAATTCCTGTATTGGAGGCATGAAGTACAAATAAGGAATACTGTATTTACTATATTAGAAGCACATCTTCAATACACATAAGGTAAACATAAACATTCTAACAGAAACAGAATTGAAAATTGAAACAGAATCCCAAATCTACCTGTAAGTAAGTTTAAGCACACACCAAACAGAGATACAAGTATATGATTATAATCTGCGATTCTTCTAAATTACTTACATCAAATACTCCTACAGTAACACTTTCTTCCACATTACGTAACGGTACACCAGCGTTCATTAATGCTTTTTCAAATGAATAACTACAACCTACATAAAAAGTACACATTTCTTCCATCTCCTTCTTGTAATCCATTAAACTTCCAACTGACTTGGTAAATTTCCCATTTTCTACCACTCTGTACATGGAGACATCAGTCCTGTTACAATATTCAGATCAAAATTACGTGTCAAACCCAGTGAGACAAGTGTCAGTTACAGCAGCAAGAAATGTGTCAAAGACAGCAAGAAAATTGACGAACACAGCAAGAAAAGTGTCAAACAAAGTGAGAAAAGTGTCTACTGACGAGAAAAGTGGTAAACACAGAGAGAAAAGTGTTAAACACAGCAAGAAATGTGTCATACACAGTGAGAAAAGTGTATGATTGCACCCTCAAAGATAAAGTTTGAAAAACAGTACCGGTAACTAAAGATTCATTAAGGATATTTTACATAAAATTTCCAACATTTTCAAAATGCTGATACTAAGGACATTTAATCATTATGGCATCTTGCATAATAAATCTGTGACCACATAAACACCAAATGGCCCACAGTCTGCCAGCTTTATTCAAATCACAAAACTAAATGATATTTTACTAGATGCTGCATCATCCGAATTGCACGGTTTGTTGGTGCCAACTTATTGTCAACGCCACCAACCCGTGCAGGATCAGCCAAGTTTGATTTGCTTGGAAAGGTGCCCAATCAGACGCTGTATAACATTGCGCTATAAACCAAAGAACAAAATGGCGGAAATGGCAACGCTAAGCATGGTTACTTCAAAATTCTTTTAATAACCGTGCGTGTAGAGTGTTTTTAGGTTGTTTGCCAAACCCCCAAAAAACGATGCTGCATTTTTTCACCCAGTTTTTCACAATTTTTTATGCCAACATTGCAAGCTGTTTGTGGCATACTTGGTCAGCAAGGTGACACATATATTAACAAAATAATGAAACTGTCAACTCTGAAAGATTCTACATTTAAGAGTTGCACAATTTTCGTGATTTGCCACTCCCTGTCCTCGTTTTTTCCTGTACTCATCTTTTTCAGCTAGTAATGCCTCAATTGCATGGTTTGGGTGTTTTGGTCGCCTGTTAAAAAAAACGCTCTACTTGATACAAGATAGTTGATTAGCTGTTTATTTTTGTCGCATCTCCTCTCCTTGTCGTTAAAAGAGGAACAGAGGTCTGGTTTTTGTCACTCTGTACATGTTCCAATTTGCATAATGGTAGACAGCAAGGACCAGTATTGGTATGACAACTCACCTGATGTCAGAGTCACTATGAGTTATACCAGGTGCTGTAAATTCACCAGGTTTGGATTGGTACAGCAAAGGTAATGGACCGCTATTTGCATGACAAAACTTTTCAAAATCATCTGCTAAAGATTGGTGCACAATAGCTAGGTTAGCCTGGGTGAAACCTGGTGAAGATAAAACATATGTAGAACACAATGTAAGAATGTGTAATATTACTATTACTTTATGAAAATGAAAACATTGTAGTAAAAACAAGTTGCTGACACTTGCCAAAAAATCATTAAAATACCTTGCAGCTAATAAGCTTAGCATGATATTCGTAATAACTGTCGCAATTTTTACAAAAATTTGCAAGAATTCAAAATACTTTGTAGAAAAATTCAAGAAGTGAAAAAAGTCAAAATCTTTTGCAACCAATGAAAATACATTGCACACAATTTATTAGAAGTCAAAATCCTTTGCAGAAAGTCTCCAAGTCAGAATCCATTGCAACAAATTAAATACTTTGCAGACAGTTTACAAAGCGTTGAAATCCTTTGCAACATAAATGAACTATGGTCACCAATCCTGTGACCAATCCTGACATATTCATACCAGGAACCTTTGAACTGTCAGAAACTATGGTCACCAATTTACATAACTAGAGAGTAATGGTGATTGCATATAGTATATTGGTATATAATGTTTACCTGCACACATGCCAGTTGTAGGTTGTCCATCTGGAAGTTCTTTGCTACGTATTTTCAGCCTGACTTCCAATGGAGATGCATTCGTCAAAGTGTTTACATTAACAAAGTTCTTCTTCTTGTCTGAATTCATTTTTTTCCCTTCAGTCGCAGATCTTATAAAAGCAAACAGTGTCAGATATAGACAGCATTGTATTTATTATAAAACATAAATATAATGTTTAGGTTCTATGATTAATACTATTGTCAGTTTAAGTTTGAGATACCAGTAAAGAATAAATAAATTAAAAATCCTCCCTTTTAGAAAAGTAAATGTTCCATGCTGAAGTTATTGGAGGCAAAGATTTGAACAAGTTATTTAGAAATTAGAAACACTTTTAATTAAAAGATTGAAAATCTTTTTAAGCATCCTTCAGAAATGAGGTCAAGTATTGTGTTGATCACATCAGATCAGGTCTTGCAAAAAAGTTCAGAAAACTGATTAAAGTCAAATAATCATAATTATGCAAATGAGATCATTAATTTTGTGTTGCCCAACCCATGCATTCCTACGATTCAAGTTGAGATTACATAATAAATTATGTGAATGTTCTTGTACTGGTAACCTTTGCCTGTAAGGATTGGAGCTCTGTCAATTGTAGTTTGATGGTTCATTTCTTCCATAGAAAGAGTACATAGGTTAGTATTGAAGAAAATTCTGTTTCGAAGCACATGTTTTTTCAACCAGCGATAAGAGCAGTTTCCATTTTCTAGGACAATGTAGGTGGTAAAAACGTCTCAGTCTGTACAGTAAGTATTATAGTATTGAACATTTTAACTATTGGTAAAAAAAAATGTTAAAAGCAACAATGTAGTCAGTTTCAGAAAAAAAAACCCATACGTGCCTTTTCATAAAAAACAAACCATTTTACTCCAGGGTCAATTTAATTTAGATCAAGTCAATAAATTATAATAGTTTCATTTCTAATGCGTTCCTATAACACCATTTCCCGAAATGCATTGCAGTACATTTACAAATAGTGGTCCACCTACAATACAAATCAAACATCAGAGCAATTTGGCAAGCTGTATAGAAAAAGTTGAAAATGACATTTTCTACAAAAAATATTCACTAAGATAGAGAATTAATTGAAGCTATTTTCATAATATTAACAAATATGATAGTATTTACCCCATTAGTAAACAAAACTGAACCCAGTCAGCTGTTTTGAATCAGAATTCAGCAAATGCATAACTTTGGTGTGAATTTTGTTATGTTATGCTATGGTATGAAGTGTTATGCCCCTTACATAGAGGGCGGTACAAAAGAGTTACAAAACAAATTTATACATACTAGCCTTCACCTCCCTGTTATTTGGCAGGTCCTTCGGCCCTCTCTCCCCATACTACCTGGTCGTCTGAAAACATTGCCTGGATTTAGCTCATATGGTCATTGGATGACCACAACGTTCATTGGTTAATAAATCCTAATGAATCCAACAATGATGTGACAGTTACTTGTTCTCTGCATATGCTGTATCAACTGATAGTTGTCACAGAGACAAAAGTGCAACTGTGCCTACCTTGTCAACAATTCCTAACTATAATGGAGAGGGCCAAAGGAAGGTAACCAGGGAAACTTGCAACCCATAGTGTACTACAGCCCACACACTTTGGGATGTGTGATGAGTCTACTGCAGGGCTTAGCATTATTCCAGGTGCTTGTATGTTATTATCGGTAGTGATTATTGGTTTAAATTGGTAGTTTGATGGTAAATCAACTTTTATCATCAAGAACATGAATAATATCAATTTTCACTACTTATACTGCAAAGAAAATTGTTGTAAGATATTTTTCATATTATAAAAAGGTGAAATGTGGACATTTCCATTTTACAAAAAATCTCAGCCTCATTCAATTACCAATCGGCATCATAGAAGGCAGTATGAAAGAGTGCCACACTTTCAAGTTCTTGTTTTGTTTTTTCTGTTGTGTTTTTTTAGTGTAATAATAATAATAATAATAACTTTATTGCATCCTTAGAAATACAATGTTTCTATCAGTTAATAGCAATAAAGATTAGTAGAAAGAAAGTAGAAAGTTAAAAAATCACACATCTAAAATATCTCTATGTGATCTAAATAAGCACATACAAATTATTTAAAGCATATATATGGACAACAACAACAAATATCTTGAGACGGAGTTCATAACCATTGCTTTCTGCCGATTTACTCGAGGTAATGTATCTATAAATGTACGCTTGCTCGTAGTTTCTCCTATTTATCATCGTTGTGAGCTGTCAAGTGCATGTTGTTTGTCGCCACAATTCATTGCATGGAACCTGATCCAGTTATTTACTACCCTACTACCCCGAATAACAATGGATCGACGTTCTGTTCACGCCAAATATAAATAAATGTACTTGTTAAAAAAATCAAATGAACCAACTAGTCAAATTAATATAGAGAAAAGTGGGAGTTTCCCCTGAAGCGATATTAATAAATTAAAGAAACAAACGTGTTTACCTTGCGATCAGCTGTTTTATAGAACGGAAGTGGGGAGAATTGTGGTTGGAACACTCAACGACCAATCGAATTGCAAAGAGTTGGGAAGTACCAACGTTCCCCTAGCTAACTAAAAATGTGACGAATAATGTTTCAAAATGCGATTCTTGACTGCACCAAAGTGTATTCGTTTCGTGCAAAATTAAGATTCTCGTTGTCTGTGATTTAAAGAAGAAAAGATTGTTTTTTCGTCAAGCACGCTCCATGAGTTATATCGCTCTTTGTTAAAACATTTCGATGACTGGTTAGAGGGCCTTGCGACGGAGAAATTACTGACAGACCACAGGATAGTTGTTTGGCTGCGCCGTGCAGTTTGGAGGGGTGAAGCAACCCTCTATTCGCCCAGAATCGTGATTACGATGGATCCAAATGCTACAGAGAATCGAAAAACGATAACACACGAGCTCAAAGATGGTAAGACAATCTTATTGCTATGTTCTTACACGATAAACTTTATCCGTGCATCTCTCTACATATGATGTTTTGACCCACGTCGCAGGAATCGTCCTTCGTATCCCATATAAAAAACAATAAATAAAACAAAAAATAAAAATGTATAACCCAGGTAATTTGCTATATGCAAATTTATCACAGATTTTTAGTTTTTTAATTGTTGCAAATAACATCAGAACAGTGCCTAAAACGTAAAGTTATACTAAAAAATAGTGCGACATCATTATTTGCTTGTAAGGCAAATCGAACAACAATTGCGTGGTTTGTTTGGGAAAACCCAGCTGAAGTCAGAGAAATTATAACATATTATAATGCGGATATTGTTTTTACTGACAAGATAATATACTAATAGAAATGATGCCATTTCATTTTGATGCAATGCTCTATATTATTTCACGTTGATAAATCTTGAATTGTTAATATTTGGCCCCTGTTATTTTCCATATTCAAATATGGAACAAATAAATTTGTTTTATTTCCTGGCCAGGCTTTTAAGTAATTTTTCAGTAAATTTTAGTTTTTGTTTGCAATGCTTGTACCATACCATACTATGTACATTTTTAACAGGATGTAGATAATAATTAAAATTACTTCTTTAGTTTTATTTTATTAATGTTATGCAATAATTAGTGTATATGTTTGCAATTTAGCCTACAAGACTTTCTAAGGTATCCAGTATCCAATTCTGGCTTGGTGTCAGCAGGTCAATTTCATTAACATGACAATGGTTTTAACATAAATGCAGGCATATATACATTTTTTTAACTTCATAAATACTGTTAACTTAGATAGATCCCCTACCCTAACAAATAATTAGACAGATTTTGATAATTTTTGCTGTAATTATATATACTAGTATCTCAGTTCCAATAAAAAAAAATAATCAGAAGAACTGTCATTGTCCTGAATTTGAAATAATCCCTAAAATGTGACCAAATCCAAGTACATGTATCATGTCCCAATTAGCATTACATTCATGTAAGCTTATATGTAAACAGCATGAATCATTATAGAACAAACAAACACACACTTGTTCTTTTCACTAGTAATTCAGAATTAGAGAAATCATAGACCCTTCAGTACTGGAGGGTCTATGGAGAAATACAAAACATAAGCTGCCAAATAAAATACATTATTATACATCTGTCACCGTAACGCTATAAGTTACATCATGCTGTAATTTTGCGGTATTGCCATACTAGGAAATGCGAATTCCAAATATGGAACGATTACGAGCATAGACATCCTCTAATAATAAAAACAAACATGGCAGCCCCCAGGGTTTGACCGAACCCCATACAACGAAGTTGGCTCAATCTGTTTTAAACTTTTTGTATTTCGGCATCTCTATGATGTATCTTTGGGTAGAAAAGATATATAATAATAAGGTTATTACGAGGATACCTCAAAGTATGAACTCAGACAGTACGCGGTCGCATCATCCTCCGCTGCGCATCTACCGATACTCCCGCCTTCATGCATACCGGTACATTTTGGTATCCTTGTATGTATTTTTTTAGGTTTACTAATGCGCCACTTTTGAAAAAAGTAAATGGAAAATTTTCGACTTACTTACCTGAAATGTTATTTAATTAATTTGGCATCATTTCACAACAAAAAAATTAGTATACTAATTCAAATAATCAGACAGCATTATGTATGTGGTTTTGTACACTACTGTAGAATACTTTATTTTCGCTTTTTTTGCTGAAGGGATGCTTCAGTGCTTCACTATTATAAATACCATACGAATCCACATAATCAGACAACATATGTATGTGGTTTGGTACACTATTATAAAACCCATACTTATCCACATAGTCAGACAACATATGTATGTGGTTTGGTACACTATTAATACCATACTAATCCACATAATCAGACAACATATGTATATGGTTTGGTACACTATTATCAATACCATACTAATCCACATAATCAGACAACATATGTATGTGGTTTGGTACACTATTATTAATACCATACTAATCCACATAGTCAGACAACATATGTATGTGGTTTGGTACACTATTATTAATACCATACTAATCCACATAGTCAGACAACATATGTATATGGTTTGGTTCACTATTATCAATACCATACTAATCCACAAAATCAGACAACATATGT